GGTTTTCTTTTATCGTTAGCGACACAAAGTTTGTCTTCTTGAAAGGTCATTGCTGTTTAGAACACAAAAGCGAACTGTGAGAAGATCGGGTAAAAATAAGCGTAATTCAATAATGTGTATGATTATGAATATCGAAGCGGTGGTAAAATCTTAAAGGAATTGGTAAAAAGAAGGACGCTCGTTCCATTAGATCTAAGGGTAAGAATTCCTATTCGTTGTCAAAGAGCTACCATCCAAATTTATATCTGCTATTTCCTATGTGATATGATTAAAATATAGAAGATTCACATTACCGAAAGCTTTGCTTCATTTAGTCCATTAGATGTTAATAGAGAAAAAATGCTGAAAAGAAATTGCAAAGCAGCCTCCATCATTTATGGGAAGATAAAGAAGTAATTTTAATGAATCGGCAAAAGTTTGTGAGAGAAGCTCTTATATTAAGAAATGTCCATATGTAAAATAAGCGTACCTATCTGTCACTGTAAAAATGAATCCTGTTAAAATTATGAAGTAGGGCCGTTGGCCTTTATGCGGAATAAAGATATAATGTTTTCTGTTAGAGAAGTTCGTACATAAGTTTCCGTTCATCTGACGTAGGTTCTTCTTCGATTCTTTGCCAACATGGTGTGACGGGTGTTGTGTGTACCTTCTCCCTATCATAGGGGATACATGCGCTACAGTTGCAGGCTTATACACCTCGCAAGCTGTGTCATGATTGAATTGTGATGTTTTAGGGATATAACAAATACAAGTATATATGGGGGGAGGGGTGGCATTAATGCACCATCCCGGAACTAAAAGCTTAATAATTGAAACCTATAATATATAATGGTTCGACCATATACTCTAAAAAAATTATTATGTGTATGTGGGCACTCTTGTGTATCACTGTCAACGCGAATGTTCCATCAAATCTTGTATCACTAGAACTGTGTTTTGTTTCAAATACATTTTTCTAATAGATATTATCTTATCTTGAACTGAATTGTACATTGATGGGTCTGTGTTTCTATTGTGGCTCCACAGTTCCAATAGGCTACATCCCCATTCACTGGCATCATGTCACCCAGTTAACTGCACTTGATCTTAATTGACAGAATCTGTTCTAAGGTATTACACGTGTTGTAGCGATGACCGTTGTATTGTAAATGTACGGTTTATTCATGGAACCTAAATCGTTCGTGTTTAGTGAAAGACCACGAGACGAACACCTCTCAACACAATCATACTGTTAACCACGAAACGGGGATAATGTTGGGAGGGAAAAGCCCTCACTTCAGATCTTCAAAGTGGGCTTACGCGTGTTGTGTATTTGGGTGTGAGTTTACGTATACTTTTTGCACATTTTATGTTTATTTTAAAACTTTTTCTTTGGAAGCTGAGTTTGAACAGTATCCAGGTTACAAGCCAAGAAGAATTCCAAATATCAAATTCTGGCCTCACATCGAAAACAAACTTAATTGAATCAAAATATTTTTGACACACATGGAGACAGATACATTTAGTATGCTTCTGCATTTTCAAACCCAATTTTCTAAAATAACAAAATATTTTCATTAAGGCGAAAGAAACATTATGCGTATACACCCCACAGGGCCCCGCGGAGAGACTGGCTGGAGAAATAACTTAGAGACATTTCCAGGATCGGTTTACAAATACTTTTAGGCAGAGCACGTGCTGTTTAGGATTTTTGGAGTATTTGCCGGCAGTATTGTGTACTTCATTACTTTTACAGAACATATTGCTACTTTTGTGATACATTAGACGCAGGGGTAGAGTGATGTAGTGTTATATAATGAACACAGGACAACGTATAAGAGAGACAGCTTGAAACACTTACCACTTATTCGTATAAATGTTTACTTCATGTATAAGGTTACATGCATTTCCCCATAACACACTATGATGTGACTTAGTCATTTAATTTATTTTGTCACATTTAAGGTTGGCAAACTTTTGTTTGACACTCTAAGTCGCGCGGGTTATGTGGTATATATTTCTAAAAAGCTAACGACATGAGCTCACGATACGAAACACGACATTCATTATTTTGTATCGATACCAAAAAAGTATATTAACCTGTGTGTATCAATGTAAATGTCATTCTAGTATAGCTGCTTTTTGTCGAAAGAAGAGCAACGCCGAGTAATATCTGCAATAACTTTATGTTCGAGTCAAGGTGTCGCTGCATCTTATAGGTCGCGTTCAAGATTATTGCACTCATATAGCGACGTGCATACCGCAGTTTAATTCATGAATACCCCATTCAGACACAGTATACTGACTCCGTGCCGACTTGTCCGTGTTTTATACCATTAATGCCGAGCCCCAGACTGGGTAACAACAAATACCATATTACAGACAGGGTAACAACAAGTACCATATTTTAACGTCTTTTGGTATGACGCGGTCGGAGCGGTTAATCGTTACACCCTAGTGTCTTATGTCTGAGTTCTGGGTCATAGAGGGGTGGCCTAGTGGTTAACGCGTTCGCTCGTCACGTTCGATTCCCGACATGGGTACAATGTGTGAAGCACATTTCTGGTGTCCCCCGCCGTGATATTGTTGGAATATTGCTAAAAGCGGCGCAAAATATACTCACTCAGTCTGGGTAATAGCGCCTATATTTTGTCAGACAGATAGTGTACAACGTATATAGCTATTCCCGTGAAACAGACAGTACTTGGTTCAGTGGCTGGTGTGCTTTCTCGTGACGTACAAGTCCGATTTCGATTCCTCACAGCGCTATTGCGAGTGTTGCACATGTTGGTGCCTTGTCGTGATGTTGCGGTGTAAACCACTCTCACTCGCCATTGTCGTACAACAATAAGTCAGTGTTATGTTTGGTTTGGTTCCGTTTTGGCAACGTGTATCTGGTAGCGACTGCGCTTCTAAATATAGGCTTTGCCTTATTATTAGGATTCGTGATCGCCATTGCAGTTGAACGTTCTCATATAGCTGACCACGTTTTCACAGGTTCGTGATCGTCATTGCAGGAGAACTTTGTGATATAGCTAACTGCACGTTTTTACAGGATGTGAACAACGTAATATGTTGTAATTTTCGAGAAAATTCATTCAAGGTCTTCGGCAAATAAAATACGATTTACCCGACGTTTGATGCATAATGAGAGCATCTTCGACTTCCAACAACTATCCAAGAGGTTTATATTTGTGACCAACTGCAAAACTAAGCATGTGTGTTTTATATTTTTTGTTTGGTGGGTAAAATTTGAGCAAATTAAGATGAAATGTGAGTACAAAACATCAACGCCTGAGAATAACCAGTCTCGATTATCCGACGAAGCAGATTCCATTGAGCGTTAAAGGCGAACTAGATGTGAAAAAAGTATGAATGGATAACAGAACGTCAGTGATGACACCAGATGTTTGCGAGAAGGTAGCACCCGCTACTCGTTCAATTTGCATAAAAAGTATGTTTGTTGCCTCGTTAATTCGAATTCGAACTTCATTACCTCGATTAAGGAGATTTGACACTATGGTCCTAGCAGTATCAATTTCAGCAGCATGTCTCGTTAAGAAGGCGTCACTGTACACCATTCGTAGGATGTAAACTATGCCCTTACAGTCAATGTCCCACGTAGTAATTCCTATAACGTACTCCAGAAACCTATGATTGTGGGTTCGAATCCCGGTTCGCCCCGATTATGTTTCTAGGTTTGTCAGCACCATACCCGTGATCGTGGGTTTCACTGACGTGGTAAACATCTGAGACCTGCATCACTTCGGGCTTTCCTCCCACTTTAAGCTGACACGCCGTGATATAACTGGAATACTGTTAAAAGCGGCGTTAATCCCAACTCACTCACTCACTATAACGTACTCACTAAGCTAACATATAATCTATGACGTCTTGATTACACGATACAATTCGGTCCTCTAAAAAAGAAATTCCTGATGCTGATGGAATAGAGCTGGCTAGACTTGTTTTTTATCATCTAGATTGGATTTGGTTTGATAAGATACATATATTCCACTGTCCTGGTGCAGGATTAAGTACTCACATACATGTACATATAAGATAACACCAATTTACCTTTAATATGTGTGAAAGCTTTGTCACGAAGAGCTATATCCGTCACCCGTGATTGTGACATTGATTCAACGTGTTGCGTTTGTAACTACAATTACCATGCTAGCGTCGAGATTGCATAATCATTAAAGTAACACCACTGCACCCTGACAAGCCAGCTAAACTAATACACTCTTCAAGTGGCACTGTTATCACTGCATGTTTACACGGAGCTTTGTCATCGGCCTGGAATCCATGGCCCAGGATTTAATCCTTTTGATGTCGCATATTATGAAGTTTAGCGAACATGTGTGGCATTGTGGTAGAGGCAGGGGTGGTTCTGATTAAACACTTTCATCCTAAATTAGAATATTTGATTAGCGGTGTTAGGAAGTGCCGTAACGTCTTGGAGTAGAGTACAGCCCTTTGTAGTGTATCCCGAATTCTAAGTCAATTGTCATTCTAAGAAATGTATACGTGTTCTCAAAGACAAATGTAATTGTGATTATATTAATTTATTGATTAGTGATGATTTAGATGATATGGCCTGCAAGTTGATACTGTTTTTGGTACATAAGAACCACGTGGCAAGAGGGGCCAGGACGTCACATCTAACATTTTCTTTTCATTGCAAAGTGAAACATATCAAGACATTTCACTTGTGTAAATATAAAACGTCAATAGAGAATAGTCGGTCTCAAATATCTGCTGATACAGATTCCACTGGGAATTAAAGGCAAAATAGTGGCTACAATTCTATGAATGGATCACTGATCTTTTCGCTCACACATCGTCTCATCTCTGATTTTCAGTGATCCATCCATACAATTTTTACCACAATGTTAACGTTTTTAGGCCAAGTTGAAACTTCGAGACTTATTATTCTCTTGCGTTGACGTTCTTGTAATTAGTTTGCTCAGATTGAACTTGAACATTTTTCTAAAAGACACCATGCAACCTTGTTCCAGATTGTCCTCCCATGTCCCAGAGGAACTTCCCTCCGTCCTTCTGGAACAGCGCCTACCAACCATCACCGTCCCTCAGCCACCACGACTTCCAGTTCTCCGCCAACCCTTACTTCTCCACGTCCTTACACGGGATCTCTGGGCTCCACCAAGACCCCTGGCACTACTCCTTATCATCGCAGACACACAGTTACCCACATCGGACAATGCATTATGACTTATCATACCCATCTATGGCAGGTTCCAGCAGATTCTCGCCCAACTATGGGTCGTTACTAATGAATCCCTCAATGAGGACTAGTCAGTTTGGTTCCATGTCAGGACAGTGTGATATTAGCAAGGCGTCGGATCCAAGTAGGCCAAGATACCCGGATCCAAGACTTGGCACGGAATTCAGTACACACGCAAGCTTACCTGGTATGTATTTATGAATTATCGCTCCAAATATCTGATCCGGTTTATCCGGAACTCATGCCTTCTTTACGATTACGCGGGCACTGGTGGCCCAGTCGTTTAAGGCGCCGCGATTCGCTGTGCACATTGGGCATGCCAGAAACCTATGATTGTGGGTTCGAATCCCGGTTCGCCCCGATTATGTTTCTAGGTTTGTCAGCACCATACCCGTGCTCGTGGGTTTCACAGAAGTGGTAATCGTCTGAGACCTGCGTCACTTCAGGCTTTCGTCCCACATTAAGCTGACACGCCGTGATATAACTGTAATACTGTTAAAAGCGGCGTTAAACCCAACTCACTCACTCACACTTTACGATTACTGTTTGGAACGACTTCATGTCGCGAAAATGGCATTGACACAATCACACGTCCATACGATTTCACCGAGAACTGTTCCATCCCGATTAACTGGGTTTCACTGTATGTAGACATTTCCAGCACTGTCCGTGTTAACGAGATCCTTGTTAACGGGGTTCACTGTAATACATTTTGTGAACCCCTAAAGAGCCGGGTTAGAACTCGATCATTTACAGACCGCCGTCATATAGATGGAATATTGCTGAGTGAGGCGTTAAACAACAAACACAAATTTTAAACAAAACGTTTTAGAAATGTCAGTGTCAGCTAAGGAACACACAAAATTCATGAATTCTGATTACATTTTATATATATGGAAATCGTTGCGAACGTAATCGATAACAGGTACCAGGGTCATTAATTCTGGTGTCACCAAGTGTATGTATTTCATTACATATTTTTAGATGTTTTGAATAATTTTCCAGGATGATTATTTGGGTTTTATATGAAAAATCAATTTGATGAAATACACGTTCGGGGTACTGTGGTTCTATCGTAATGGCGTTAAGTAGACGTTGAATGAACGTTAAACAATAGTTTAAGTGTTGGCTATTTGGAAACGTGATTGGCATGAATTTTCGTTAATATTACATCAACTACGTCAATGTTTCATTCCAAATTTCTAATTATTGTATATAATTTATAGGTGTCAAGAATACCATTGTAGTGTACGTCTGTAGGTAGGTAGGTGTGGAATAAACTGTGTATGGAAACATACACCCTGCTCACATGCTTAAAAATATGAAGATGGTCACTTTTAAACTCTCGTTCAGTTTGCAATCGTAGCAAGATGCGTAGTTAGTCGAATAAGGTGCTGATTTCAGAGATCCGTAAATAGCCATATAAATATGTATTTAATCTCCATCTCAATAACATATAGGAGCGTCTATTGCCTATTTTGAGGAAACACCTATCGAGAGCTGTAGATTAATACAAACACGTGCTCATGCTAGTTCTTGGTGTGCCATGTTAATCTCCAAATCGACTTCGGAAAGAAAATTTAGATTTACTTGTGTTCTTACGTCCAATCGTCTGTATCAGACAAGTAAAACTTCTTTTGATTGATAATCTTTTGAATTCGAAATAATTAGAGGCGCGTGATTGAAACTGGTTCAACTGATTTTCGAATTAGTACTTTTCGTCAGACCACCCCGAAGACGTTTTAGCCGTTTGAAGTTTGTTAACAAACAACTGCAACTGTTGTGAGGAATATGTACCTCCCCGATTACATCATCACTGACTCTGAAGGGAAACATTCATACATTTATTTACCCAAAACACGCCACTTAAATCTGACAACGATCCCCAAGCAAGGAACCGCTGTCCCTAATTGAGTAATTAAACCTAGTTGTAACGAATAACACTGACAGAAGGGGGGACCAACTGGTCTCGTCTCGCTGTCGGCTTGTGGAGATCATGTTTAGCTCATATCACACACGCTGGCGTAAGGGCGAAGCTTACAGCACAGTATGTCTTTCATTTACGACAATGATAAACAGCAAACACAAACAGAGATAGGTAGTAGATTTATGCACGTTAAGGAAGTATGACCGAAAATAGAAAAGTTCTTGATTTTCTTGGAGTGTGGAGTTGTTAAAGTTGTGTCGAGATGAGTTCGTTAAAGTCAGGTAATCATAAAAGAAATTGCAAAGATAAACGTCATCCTAATTTTGTATCTGTGCGTGTGTGTGTGTGTGTTTGCGTGTGTCTGTCTGTCTGTGTGTGTGTGTGTGTGTGCGTGCGTGTGTGTGTCTGTGTCTGTGTCTGTGTCTGTGTGTGTTACACCAAGTGTAATGTATACATATATCCACAATTAGGATGACCTTTTCTTTCTTACATATTTTATTATGACCTAACTGAACAACCTTCATCTGGACGCGATGTGTATATTTGAAGAAAGTGAATATTACAATGTTCAAGAAGTGCTATCATCGGACAAACGAATGGACAATAAGACAAACACGGGATGTGTTACAATTTGAAAAGCTATCACAACTTGAATAAGAACAAATGGAAATGAATTTCGATTAACAATTAATTTCCTGTGCAAATATTATCTTCCGAGGTGAAAGGCTCCTGAAAGAAGTTGAGAAGGAAAAAGGATGTTTTTGACAAATTACCATAATAATATGTTTCAGGCGTAGAAATTGATCCAGCGGCCGCGAGAACAATACTCTTTCTGTAGGGAAGTAAAACCCTGTACATTTTTGTAACGCCAATCTAAATAAAAATATTTGCGGCGAAATTTCATGAAATCCGAAAACGTTTCTTCACGTTTGGTTGTACTACTGTTTTTGATGAAAGCTACATTGTGCTCGTTCTATATAACAATGGGCCAGTATTGAACGCACTATATTACTTCTTGACGTAGAGGATCTATATGTAAATACTAGTCACTCCATAAACACTGCCAAGAACGATAATCAAACTCGCCCAAATAGTCTGAATAATAAGGTTGTATATATCAGTTATTTCTTTGGATTCTGGTCAACTCGGTAAGATGGATTCATGTCTTCGTTATATAAAGATAATGTATGTATGTAAGTACAAGAAAACTTCTGTCAAGTACATGTATGACGTGAACTTGTTGCATCTTACGTAACAATAAAGACGTTATTATGGTTGTTTAATGAAATTGATCTTAAGATTGGTTTTGAAATGTTAAACATGCTTTCATTTCTCGTAATTTCGAGGACAAGAAACGTTTCTTTATTCATTACTACTTATTATGAATCTTGAAGATTATATCGGATTTTATATATTCCATTATTCTATCACAATTGTGCCTTTGTTTTGTGTATTATACGTAACAAGTATTCTCCCGTTGATTTAGAAAGATATTAATTAATCCATAACATTTATTTTGCGATAATTGATTTTATGTTATAAAAGAGAGGTCAAGTAGTCCTTTTCTGAAATTCAAACACACACGTCAAACACACATTTATCAAAAGACAAAGGAAACAATTAAACCAGGAACATTTTATTAATCATCAATAAGGTTTGATAATTAGTTCACTCTTTCAAAGTGACATCCAATAAAAAAGCTCTTTTATCAAAGAACGGAACTATTTTTAAAGGAATGACACACCCTCTTTAAATCACACTGGCCTTGTGGGATAGGGGAGCCAGCCTATGAAGATTGTTATCAAAGGCCAATAAACAATGCTTACTGATATCAGCTAGAGCCTCTTTGATTTTATCTCATTGTTTATCGCCACAAAACACGTGTGAAGTCTAGGAAAAATTACTTGGCGAGTTTATTTGTAAATGCTGCTGATTGGCTCATGCAGAACCTACGAGTGCATTCGCAAAACGCTTACTATGATAAAACTCTTAAGGTATATTTAAGGTTCTGGTCTTTTATAGCACATTTCCCTCCTTTTCGTCAATAAAACATGTATATGAGGTGTCTGCTGTTTGTATAAATAAGATGATGTGACCAGGCAACTTTTAGAATTGAAACCATGCCTTATGCCCACACTTCATCCCCCCGAATATCTGAAACATTCAGTAGTTTTGGTTGTTTTGTTTCATATTTTTATCAAATTCAAGGGTTAGACACACAATGCTACTGGAACTATGCAAATAAAGAAATTATATATTAGAGAATAGCAATAATCATCACTATGAATAGCATGTGTATTGTAAAACAATGAAGAGGTAATATATATTGTTATACAAATATACATTAATATCAAGTTATATCAAGTCGGACACGTGGGTTGCTAATACGTTCAATAAGCTTTAAAATCTCAAACTTTATCATTACAACACATATGAAAATGATTAATAAACGATAGTGTACACGGTGAATAAAAGATTTCAGTAAAAGCAAGACATTTTATGGATGACAACTTCCTGTTTCTATTATTGCATTACAATAGAATAAAGATGATAAAAAAACATATTGTCCTTACTGTTATTTACCAACTAAAAATGCCAATCAAACAGTTCAACTTTCAGATTTACCAAAATCGGGCAATTACACCTAATAGAAAGTATATCAACTTCAACCATTCTTTTCAACGTTCAAAAGTGTCATTAGTTCTTGTATGTTGCCACACATGTAAACCAAACTCATAGGGAACAAGCCAAAGTGTAGTGTCTGCGTAACGAAGTGTTTCAGCTGTGCACTGTAGTTAACTCTTTGTTGTAGCAAAAAGACACCAGTATCACTCATTACACCAGTATTAGTTATAACAACACTACTCTCAACGGGGATATCGTTCATTAAGTCTGGGGGTTGTACTGGGGTGTTTTTGCAGAAGGGGCTAGAGGTTACTTTGACACAGAAACCAGTGATGAATGATGAAGCTCTTCCCAAGTCCCATATATCTCTGTAACGCTTAGAAAGAGAAACACGGCTTTCTAATTTAGACTGGGAAATTTGACCCATACGAGGAGATACTGGTAGGTCGAGAATTTATCGTCATGACAATAACTATAACCAACGCTATTTGTCTTACAGGCCTGGAAAGTTCCATACAAGAGGCGGGCAAAGACTTATACTGGTTTTAAAACAGCCCAAGCTGGACTTCAGAGTATGTGATTTGAGCCATGTTGCATTGGGGAACCCCGCACAGGTGATATTTGCGAAGCTAAGCTGAAAAGGATTGGCAAATCGGTCCAATTACCTTCAGCGGCCAGCCTGCAATCGTTGGCCCACGATTCAAGATGGCGGCTTGTCCTTCCGAGTCGAGAGAAAAGCGTCAGCTATATTGGTCGAAGGATTAAGAGGCTCAGGAAAATAATTTGAAATATTTCAGAAAGTCTTAGTCACCCCGTAGCTAAGAAAACTACTGGTGTTTTCTTGAAAAGCTTGGTCCGGACAAAGAAGGGAGAAGCAAAAAGTTGCATCGGGACACGGAACACGGAATGAGGATCAGAGAGTGCGATTTCCGATGTTTGTTGCAAAACTTGACAATTACATACCTTCACATTCGATGAACTGTTTCTGCTGATGGACAGAAAACTGTTTCTATGTCATGAAAACATATGCAATTATTAATAATTAATATCACGTTCAAAGACGACTGCTGAAAGTCATCGACCCAAAGATGTTCCAATTTCATATTTCTATATCAGCCACTTGAAACCAAAGAGATTTTCTACGTCTCCTTATCACGTAACCACACTCTTTATTGTTCAGAGTACTGGCACATGCGGTCATTTATAGTGATATTTGCATTTATTCCTTGTGGAGCTACTACTGTTTGGGGAAATCTGTCCTTCTTTATCATAAATAGTCACTATTTTTCAATAATTTTAAACGTACAGTTTACTTCATAGCAACCAAGTTTCTTTTCTATTTCGCATACCGATTTTACTCTATTGTTTACGCATTTTATACCCCAAATGTGTTCATAAGCCGTAAACAAGCTTTTAATTAATTTAGTGTAGTTATTACTTACTGTATTGATTGAATTAATAGACACACTTGAACTATATCCGTATCTTAATACTACGTTACTCAACTTGGCTACTCGTTAATCGACCTATTTCAAATCGAATGAGCAATATCCATAGTTTGCCATACATTTCTACCTGTAACGATGTGGCAACTGTATTCGTTCGTTCTTCTGTTGCTGTTTACAACATGGCAGCATATGTACATGTATGTCTGTATGTAGAATTTAAAGTAATATGTGCCTCTGGAGTTATTTATGTGAGGTGTCATTCGCGCAACTAAATCATCTTGAAAGTAAGGGGGCGGTAGGGTAGCCTAGTGGTTAAAGCGTTCGTTCGTCACGCCGAAAATCCGGGTTCGATGGTTGGATGGGTACAATGTGTAGAGCCCATTTGTGGTATTCCCCGCCTTCATATTCCCCGCTGGCGAATTGCTAAAAGCGGCGTAATTCAAAAATCACTCATTATGATGTAAGGTATGATATACTTTTCTCAAACCATTTCAAGCCAAACTTGAGGCAATGTTTGTTTCTTAAAAGGTAGAATATTTTTGTTAATATTTCCAACAAATTTGAATCCAGTTAATGCTGTTGTCTGAGCTATTCCTGTCCACACTATACTCGTCTCAAGAGTGACGTGAAGTCTCATTTGCCAAACACTCTCATCGGTCTTCCATTTATTATATTTAATTATTGCATTCTATTTGTCATCACTGCCATCGATCACGCCAAACATACCTGTGATAATAAACATATATCGTTACATCGTGCCAGTGACGTCACACCTACGTCATCAACGTCACCCGACGTTATGTATGAAAATATTGTATATATGAATCATCATCATCATGAAATAAATATCATGTTTTCTATCACGTTTGTATTGTGTTTGTTTTAAAATTGGTTACAATGATGTGCTAGTCTGATTTCAGGGAAACACACGGTTTAATTTATGACGTTGAATTGTACAAAAGATGTAATCTTTTCAGTTTTGCAAAACCATGTACGTACAAGTCTTTGAAAGGCATTTAGAAGTGATACACATAAGGAAGAGAATTCATGGATGTCAACTTCTTTATTATGAGGAACACAACTTTTCGGGGTATATGCTTTCTCATTCATCAGGCTGACATTCAGAAATTATTTTCCTCACGTACGTATACTTTCCAAAAGAAGTTAAAGAACACCCGATTCTTTCATTTTTTATAGTTATCTGTCATGCTTTTCATATTACTATAGTTCATCTGTAACCATAGTGATATGAAAGAGTGTTGTGTTCTTAAACTTCTTTTGAGTTGTCCACATGCTAACCTTTTAAATGAATCAATGGTCCAAAAAACACACTCCACTCCACTCCATCCCACCCCAGAACGTTTGCTTGGTTGTAGTACTAATGATATGATATAGACACAGGTGTCTGCGATTTAAGGATGCCTACTGGTGGTTTTAATTTTGGAAACTGGAACTGTTGTGTATCGGAGATTCTTAAACTTTATCTGAATCGTGTGAGTGACGGGTGCTACCGGTAGGGCAGGACATGCTCATCCTTTTCGAACACCTGGTGTCATCACTTATTATCAGTGATCCATTTATGCAATTTTCACCCCTGTGGTTGCCTTTTACACCCAATGGAATCTTTTTCGGCGGATATTTGAGACTGATTATTGCATTGCGTTGACACTCGTGTTTAAAGATATGTTAAGTGAATGTCGCCGAACATCATAGACTGAAGGACAAATCGTCAAAGATACGGCGTTATGTCTCACTAAAAAAACTAAATACAATTCCATCGTTAGATGTTGCGTATTGCATCCTTAAATGTTTTTAACAGATAAACAGTTGATCTAATTTTGGTTTGAATATTTTTTTACTTGAAAACTATAATCAATTATGCTTTGATGCAAAACTGTTAACTCGGTGAGATTTTTTTCTACATGCCTCTTCACTAAAGTTCGAGGAAATCATTTTGATCTTAAAAATATATATCTTAGGAAGTGTTAGCTATTCTCAATGCAGATAGGCTAAGTTCTGTAAGACTTGCTACAAGAAACGTTGAAACGCTACAGAGAGAAGGAGTAAATTTAGAAACTTTGATAGCGTGTCTTTTGCAAGATGTTGAAACTTGCATATGGCATTTTGTTAAACAGCAGTTTTGGTGTACCTCATGATACCTAGATACTGTAAATTCGGATTACACCCTCAGATGATAAAATGGAAACTTACTCAGACAACACACACCGATTATAGAAATGCTTACATTAGGCTAAAACATGTGATATCCACATTTAAATAATCACTTTTTCATAAAGGTCAACGTGATGATATTACAATGACAACAACGTTAAAGTAGAAAGTGACAGTGCATAATGATCTGTCGATTTCACTAATGCGAGAATAAAAATAATATTTTGTTTCACACCTTTAGTCAGTTTAATAAAGGTAATTACGATCATTGTCATGGAGGAAGAGACCACTCTGAAATGTGTTTAAACTGTGATATCATTGCAGCATACGTACAAAGGACAACATGCCAATATGATTTAAAGTACCAAGTCGCAATCCCCCACCACGATGACAAAAAAACAACAAGCCAGTTCACATATTGTAGACTCCAATTACCAATCAGGTCTCGTCTATACTTCAAGCTGTCCATTCCCAGCCAGACAAACCAGTGGTTGGTAGCGTGAACTGTAAAATACGAATTTTATGCGAAGAACACAAGCGTAAGCCATGGAGGATAACTCATATTTTCATCTATTTTAGAAGGCCCACAGAGATATGATCATGTGTGTCTCACGTAGGATTGCTTTGTAAAAAAAACCCGCCAGAAACCCGAATGTTTACCGCAATTATATCCACACTCTATGAACTTGTTTTTTCTCACAAGAAAAGCGAGGTTTCAAATTTTAACTTTTAGTATTATACCGTACCTAATGCAGCTAAACCACATCCCCTTTAAAACACTAGATTTGTGTGTTTCCTTTGTCAGCTCATAATACCAGCATTAACTTTAAGCTTCGTCGTGGGAATTAACATATTTGTTAACAAATAGTTCACATAATAAAACTTGAAAACACAAATGAATGTGTCAAAATATGAAATACGAACAATCTGATTGAATATAGATAAAGAATTTACAACATTTCCTTTGAGTTTTTGAATAAAAAGGACATAAATCTTCGCTTGCAATTGACAGTGAAGTTGAATTTCAGAACACACATTGATTTATTCAGATACAATGTAATGCAATACTGGGTGGCAATGAAAATTAGTTTCATGAACTATTCTCATAAATAAGAAGCTGTCTTGCGGTAAATACTATCGGCGACAGAAGCAAATTGTAGCGCAAGGGCAAGGTCATGACGGGACTTCTTTTTGCAGCATATACAAACACGAGGTGTCGACGTCAATTAAAAGCCAAATGAAAAGAAAACAAAGGAAATAGTTCCGTCATGGTTTGATTGAAAACGAGATTCTCGCGATAGCGAGATTTCTGCGTTGTTACTTGAATCCAGTACTAAAACAAAGACTTGTAACATCTGATTGTTATGATAATAAGCTGGAAAGCAGAATTTGCAAAACTTACTGAACCTTAGAAGCGTACATAAGATCTTTATGTCCCATTGATAAATTAAGACATTTATTTAAGATGTAGTTCGCAGAAGGAGAAATAGGTCTTTGAGAACAGACGCCTGCTTTAAAACATCTGGGGAAATTGCTACGATAATTTTCAGAATAACACAGTGACATTTTATCACGATGAAATACATTGTACTCACTGTTTGTGTTGTACAGGCTCTTGTTATGTCATCAAGCGTGACGTAGTTGTCTGGAGAGTATTATATATCACGCGTGTATCGTTTGTCTATATATAACCATTGTGTTGCTATGCTATATCCATACCCCCTGGGAAAAGACCATATAGAATGGTAGTTAAGTAGTGTTACTTTCAGATAAAAAACGGTTGGAAACAATTCCTATGAAACTATATATTTCCGCGTTGATTCTGATTTTTGTCTCTGTCATATATGTCTCCTTATCATTTTCACTTTAATTTCTCCATGGTAAGTAATAAGGCTGACGAAAAGAAGAAACCACATTCAACAGAGAACAGAAAATGTTTAGAAAATATACATTTTATTCAGCCTAAACACAAACTAGCTTGCTGTTATTACCACTGTTTGGCAATGCAGCTCCAATAAGCCATGAAACAACTATGTGAAGGAAGAATGTATAGCAGGGTAGGAAAATATGAAATATAAATAAATGTGATATATGTTACACATATATAAAATTTGTGTGCGTGTGTGTGTGTGCGCGCGCGCGCGTGTGTGTGTGTGCATGTGTGTGTGTGCATGTGCGTGTGCGTGTCTTATGTGTCAAAGAAGACATGTGAACGACATATTCTGTACATAACACATAAGTTAACCTCTTGTTCTATTATGTATTGTCTGAAGTTATCATTGTCATCATCATGCAACTCATAACTAAACTGTGATTAGGAATGCCTATTATATTGTTGTGTCGAATACGTTAATCAAAGTCAATTCATGAAATTGGATTGCATAATACCAACACATTACATCGTTGACGCGTGCGAAGGAAACAAAAACATGCATGTTTGTGCGGTAATTGATTAATCAGTTCTTCCCCATGAACAAAGATAGGGAGTGTGCATATTTATTAGGTGAAATCGACACCGCTTTATTTCTCTTGAGTAGCTATTGAATCACTCTGCCACACGTGCAGGGGGAACGCTTAGGTAGACAATATCCAATCAACACCGAGATAAAGAAACGACACTTTTATCACCAGACAGCTGCAAGAGATGGTCAATTTTGAGTGGAACTAATTATCGCGGAGGGTCATCCGTTCTTGGCCTCAAGGCGTGATGTTTTCTGCAGATTGTAGTGGAACATTGCAGTTGTGTTTACCTCGCTTTTCATTTGTACCAAAATATGAGAGAGAGAGAGAGAGAGAGAGAGAGAGAGAGAGAGAGAGAGAGAGAGAGAGAGAGAGAGAGAGAGAGAGAGAGAGAGAGAGAGCGAGTGAGAGGGGCACTCGGACAAAGTCGGTTACAGTCGGCTAAAGTCGGGAACATCAGGTCAGGTAGCTGTCCACTCGCAAACAAGTACATTGTTTTTCAAGCCACACGAACTGTTTGTCGAATCAAGTCGTACATGTTCACCTCTAGAATGTGGAAACAGTTCTGGGCCTCAACAGTTACCCCCCTTTGGTATTATAGCTTGACTGTCAGACTCTCGCTTTCTGTCTTCAAGAAGTGCAGATGTAGTTTGGAAGTATTCCACAAATCCATTGCCAACATTTGACACCAACCCTCTTCCAATTAATTGAGTTTTCTTTACTTTGAACAACAACAACTTTAAAATGAATTTAATTTTTTTATATTTTGATTAAAATATTTATGCAATACTTTTAAAAGTCAGTTCAACAATGCTCTAAAAACAAAACAACTCATAATCCCTAAGAGCAGTTTAATTTGGTGAATTGTAAACTCTGTAGTCAAGAGATGACAAATGAAATTGTAAATAAAATGACTAAAATGAAGACATATATATCAGGGATTAAGTATTGGTATGTACGTCATTTTCCCGCCAACCGACTTAATATGGCCTCAGGGAGGCAGGTAAAGTCATAGTAGGGTATTCGGGTCAGATTTAGAGGAGATCAAAGGGATTTTGTCTAAATCCCGCCGATGTGCCCAAGTCTGCGTGTGTTGATCTGTAGCAGCGCGCATCTCACTCAACAAATTTGGTCGCTTCCTTTTCTATTTGCCCTGGCCTTTTATCGCGGCGCTTCGATTGTATTTGTTAACAGTGCACAATGGCGTATTATTCCCCTTCACCAAGAGTCA